CTAGGCCACGCCCACCATTCAGACGAATTTCTTGGGTTATTTGAAATTCGGACCTTTTTGATGTCCCATTGTTGTGCTTAATTTCTGCTATGTTTTCTGCATTATGTAGCTTGAGGGCAGGGTGCCCACGCCTTTGGCGGTGTCGTTTGGAAGTTGCCGAAAAGGTTTAGGTATTCGAAGACCCGGATTTTCAGCATTAATGATAGGGAGGTGGAGTTCCGCACCTAGAATCTGCCGGATGAGCCGGAAGAACGGACTATCTGCGCAATAGCGGGATAACCTTAAATCCTGTAATTTATCTGCAAAATGCAGAAAATTGGGATACCTAAAACAATGCTAGATCCCTCGTTAAATACTTGTATTGTCAGTAATCTTATTGTTTTTAATTCGTGATTCGTCCTAGTGATTCATTCATATCTTCCTTATGACGAATACCTTTAGCCTGCGTGGACAATCGTATATGTTAAACTCTTAGATGTTAAAGTATCTTTCTCGAGAACCGGCTTTAAATGCGTAAAATGAGGCGACCGACGTAGCATTTTTAAAGTTTGGCAGCTACAAATTATCTGTGTGAGAGAAACTACAGATTTCCAACTTTTGCATTTTTGAAAAGTCGACTTTCCCAAAAAACCCGGATCACATGAAGCGTAATTTTGGAATTTTAGACAAATGTTAAATGTTACTCTACGCATTTTCAGCGCAAAGGAAACTGTCGTCCCGTTTCAACTCGTTCACAGAATTCACTCATATGCCAAAACAGATTTTTGGAATTTTGGAGAATTCTCGTCGCATATTACGATTTTGCGCTTCAATTACACTGCCATACACGCTTCTTCACACCTCAAATCCGGGTATATCCAGCCGCCGTTAACGTGACATTCCTGATGGCTTGTTTGACAAGATTTGGTGGATGTTGGTATCAGTTAATTGCCCGCGGCATCCCTTCTATCCGTCTCTCCATTCGGCCGGCCTTTATACCCCGAGGGCACATGCATCTCGCCTACCTGTCCCAATTCTCACGGCTTTTTGGTGATTGATATGAGTGGAATTGGGGGCATCCAAGTCATCTGTGCTACTGTGGTTGGTTTGTGGGTAGGCTAGCAGCGATTCTTTGGGAAATTCTGGGCACTAGGGTTGATCTTAAAATTATACGTTCCATGCTGATCGTCGATTTGAAGCTCGGGGGGTTTTTATAGTCGAGAAAGCTAAAAATGAGAAATAAAAATGAGAGAGAGAAAGAGGGAGAGAGAGAGAGAGAGAGAGAGAGAGAGAGAGAGAGCGAGAGAAAGATAGAGAGAGCGAGAGGGAAAGAGAGTGAGAGACAACGAGAACTTAGTGGATAGTCCAGATAATTAACAATTACAGGTAACAAGGAATTTTAATGGCGTCGAAAACTTTTTCCAGTATTTTTCTAGAATAATAGCGCCTAGGTTCCATCTACTACCCCTTTGAGGGTATTTAAAGGTACCATCAACCTCCCACCAAATTCCTTGTCACCCACAAAATGTCCAACCGCATGCTCTTTTTTTGCGGGGGCTGCTGCGCTGAGGCGTCGTCAGTATGCGATGTGGGGGTTGGCGGCCGGAGCAATCGTCGGGCATTTCCATCTGTTTGTTGGACAAACAGTCTCTCTCCCTCTCTCTCTCTCTCTCTCTCTCTCTCTTTCTCTCTCTCTTATCCTCAAGGCGGCTCTACCATCTACTTGGGAGGTTGCCGGAGCAGCGTGCGCACCTTGCGCCGCACGGCGTGCATCCCGAAATGCCAAATTTTCGGAGGCAAAATTGATGTTTCTTCTCTTTTTGGCAATGCTGTTGATAACTAGGAGATCTTGCTATTGTTTCATATATTGGATCAGCATTGTCGGATTTCAGGTTGTGGCCTGGAAATGGAAACCATTTGCAGCCTTCCTTCCAGACTTTTCCGTTTTCATGGGATTGCATTGTGTCATTTGACGTATATTTATGTAAATCTGGTCTTAAATCGGTGTGAACTTCAAGAGGTATTGAAGTGATGGCTTATTACCAAAATATGTATTTTCCATCAATACCGGTCCTTTTCCAAATTTTATCATTTTATCATTAAAAACACAAATAATTGGTGGCAAGGAATCTAAATCCTGGCTACAGGTACAGCACCCCAGCGTCTTAGCCTTCCGGAAATTGATCTTCCTTTGAAATTAAGAAAAGTTTACGCTGTTTCCCGTTTTCGTTCACTGGCCAGCACGCACTGTCATACTACTGTGCTCGATGTTTTTATTTTTCGCATTTTCAAGTTGCCGGGCCTTACCGTAACCTATCAGAATTAATGATTAACGAAGCGTGCATTTTATTCTTATTACAAGGCAGTTCACGATGCATGTAGCGTTAATGAAGCTTTTATATACCGTATTCGTAAGCTGAAGGCACCTTTAAAGTTGCCAATCGATTTCTTGCAATACCATGAGGGCCTAGCAGCAGCGACTATGCAGTGATGAGGGAGAAGCGTTGAGTGTGTCCTAGGCGTGGGTAGAAGAAGCGTGAGGAGGGGGATGTTGACTGTCCAGTTGCTTTTTTACTCAACTTTTTTTTGTTTTAAAGTAGTACTTCCGGGTTTCTTTTCAACTTTTCTGAACTTCTAAAATTTTAGAAAGCGCTGAAAATTAGCTTCTACCATTCAATTTCCTAGAACTCCTCAGAATTCGACGGGCTCCTATCGCTCTACCTATGCTATTTACCCACTAAAAAACCCGTGTAAACACTCACCGCGCTGTCAAGTAATGCCTGATCGGGTGGGCAAAAAATTGAAGTAGGCGTTGGGGTTGAAAGGGGTGAATTGAAGTAGGTGAAACTGAGTCAGATCGATGGGTTTCTAAAGCTAAAGCACTTTGTAAGGCGTGACTAAGTTTTCGATACAATTTCTCTGAGCGCTTTCACTTTTCTAACACAAATGAATCGATTTTTTTGAGCATTTTCCGTTAATTTAGGTATATTTTTTCAACAGCTATTAATTTAATTTTTCCGCATTGTGAATTGGCTAATTGATATACCATTAATGATACGCTTAAGATCAAACTTATTTGCAAAATATAATCTACTCCTCCAACCATTGCGTACATTTACTAGCTCCACAACTAGGCATCACTCACTACGACTCCCCTCCCACTCGCCCCGATCTCATTATTTATCCATTTCCCGCTAGCAAACCGCTTGAAAGAAATCAGTCTCCTTCATCTTAGCAGCCCATTACTCTTCGTCTCTCTTCCTCTCTCTCTCTCTCTCTCTCTCTCTCTCTCTCTCTCTCTCTCTCTCTCTCTCTATCTCTCTCTCTCTCCCTCTCTCTTTCTGTCTCTCGCTCTCTCACCCCTGATTTTCCGGGGCATTGATCTGATCGTGGGCCAAGAAAGGAGAAACATTCCCGGCCACACCCATACACACCGCACGCATCTATTTCAGGGGGTGGAGACCTGGTTTTTGTGAAAACTCCCCCGGGATCTGCTGTATCCGGTTGTCTTAAATTTGGGTAGGGATCGAAGATCTGCAGTGTTTTTCAATTATATGCAAGTCCAAATCCATAGCCTTGAATCATTCCATGTCTTGGCTTTATAACTCTGTAATTTAAAGCTTTGTGAAGCCCCAAGATGCATTTATATTTTTCTGTTGTTTTGAACCTTATTTGTCACTTGTACGTTAAGGATACCAGTCAGCACTAAAATCAACCCAGACCAGGTCTGCAACAGCTGCGCTACTGTCCAAATGTCACAAGTAGCGTACCGAAAAGTCTCGTTCCTACTACCAGCATTCCTATATGGAAGAGCAAGCACACGCCAGCCTGGCTGATAGCCATAAACTTTCACCTTTTCCGTCTTCTTCTTCCATCCATCCCCAAATGCGTGTCCCCGCTCTTGTGCTCACAATTTTTGTTCACGCCTCTCGTGCGCGTTTCCTCCCCCTCGGGGATGAGTCAAGCCAGGCTGGGCTACGCGATTGTACGATAAACAGGATTTGGTGGTTTCCTGAGCTTTTATACCTTGAACTATCTATGCATTGATTATTGTCTACCGTTTGGTCGTTTCACCGTTTTCTCTCTCTTTGTTTGTCTCTCTTTTTCGCTATCTTGCTCTCTCTCTCTTTCCTCTCTCTCGCATCTTTTGCCTTTCTAATCTGGCTGTCCAATTACCCAAATGTCATATTTTGTTTACCGCTGCCACTATCCCGTTCGTGGAATATTTGCATCCAATTTCCGTCTTAAAATCGAGACTATTTCACCGATATCCAAAAAATGTGGATTTTCAAATTTCTAAAGCTATTTGCGTGTCGATTCTTCAGTCCAATTTGTCTGTCCACCACCCTGTCTGTCCATTCGTCCACCTCCCCTTCTTTTTTTGGGGTGTGGTCCCGACCTTAGGTTGCCCGTCTTGCCTATTCGATGCCCCTTTTTCCGGACCCCGTCCACCCTCCTCACCGAAATTTGCCCATCCACCGCCATTTCGGGCTGACTGCGGGGCGAGAGGGGGAAATAAGAAAACAATGATGCCCGAAGAAAACAGCTATCCCCAGCTATCCCCCTTTTTTTGAGAAATCACGACTACGATGCGGCGGTTTACTACCTGTGGCGGTCGTGCGTAGAAATATCGATCGGCATATGATTTTTTGTTTTCAACAAAAATTTTGAATATAGAAGGGTTCGGAATGCTTCAAAGTGGTCTGTTTCAGAAGATAGTTTCGCGCGCGCGCGCTCTCTCTCTCTCTCTCTCTCTCTCTCTCTCTCTCTCTCTCTCTCTCTCTCTCTCTCTCTCTCTCTCTCTCTGTCTCTCTCTCTCTTCTCTCTCTCTCTTTCTCCCTATTTCGCTATTTTTGAAGCTCCTGTTGATTATTGGTAGTTCGCAAAGACCAATTTTTTCAGAGCTTGTGGATTGGAATTTCTTGTTTTTTTTTGCTTTTTCTAAATCAAAATAACCCATTTTCAGGACCCACAGAAACGCCCTGCTGATCTCGGTGCGGCAGCAGGAAGCGCAGGACAGGATGACGGAAATCCTGCTGCAGGGCCAAAGCAAGGGCATCCTCTACGAGGGGTAAGGTTTATGCAAATTAACCTATTTACCTATTCGGTTTTGACTTGAATTTCAGAAATTATATTGATTTCTTAATGAGCCTTAAACTTTTCTACGAAATTCGAGATTTTCGGGGTAAGTTCAACGTTTGATCATTAGCATAGATCTATTTTTTCGGGCATTTCTGCCTTCCTAGGCCCTTTAAAACACGCCCATTCCAGTTACGACAAAGCTTTCATCCAGTGCATCTTCGAGGAGGGCGGTATCCAGGGTCGCAACGAGCGCTACGAGTTCAGGTAAAAATTCAAAGGAATTTCTGATTTAGGTTTCTAAATTTTAGATGTAACGCCGACCTGCAGTGCTGCGGACGTGTCTGTTGCGTACCGGAGGAAGCCACGATTCCGCTATGGTACTCCAGACATCTCTAAAAGCGTAAACTAACCAAAATTCTAGGCTCATGGTCATCTTCATCATCCTGGCGGCACTTCTGCTGCTCGCCCTGCTGCTCACCCTTGCCTACTTGCTGGCCAAGTACTTGAAGTCACGCCCGAAGAAGCGTAAGTTATCTGGCAATCATACAATTTTCTTTCATTTGAAAGCATGGTTTGCGAGTTCAAATAACACCGACAATCCTTAAGCCAAACTAAAATACACCAAAAACTCTTTTCCCAACCTTTCCAAATAGAAAATTGGAGTGTAAAAGTATCAAATATGCATTCTGGAGGCTTTCCCAAGGTTTTCCCGCAAAAAGCAAAAAGTAAGCCCAATGCGGGGCTCGAACCCGCGACAACCAGATTAAGAGTCTGGTGCTCTACCGACTGAGCTAACCGGGCGGCGAGGGTTGAGAACGGGCGGGCTAGATGGGGATAGGGGCCCCCTCGCTGCGTCATTGGCACCCTGATCGACACCTGTTTTGGCGCGACGTTCAAAAGGTAGCGCTCAGGAAACGCTTAACAATTTGTTGTATTTTTTTGCTTAATTTAAATTCTAATAATAATTTAAAGTTTACATTTTAAAGGCGTAATGAGGTAAGAGGGGAGGGGCGATAAATAAAAACTGTTTTATGAAAAAATACGGTCTGAACCTACTAAAATGTGGGCAGTATCAAAGGTAATTTCAGAATATTTCTAACAAAATTTTTGAGCAGTAATGAATACTTGATTTTTTTACGAAGTGATCAAAAAGGTATTCAAAGGAAAATATTAGGGATTCATGCGCATTCTCCGGAAATTAGTGGTCCCCCTTCTAACCGAAATTCGATGGCTATTTTTCTAGCTTTTTTTAAAAAGATACTTTGCAGAGCAAATAGTAAATAACCTATTTTTCCCAACAAACAAAAAAAAATTTCATTTTCCCTCCGCATGCCTAACCTCCTACCCCAATTCCAGAAAAGAACGCCTACCAAACGCTGACCGAGAACGGGCTCTGATCGCTCCCATCTCGTTGAGGAGGAGAAGTACTCGAGCCCCTACGGTGATCGTGACCGTTGGCGCGACGAGATGGCCATGCTCGAGGAGCAGCGTCGCGCGCGTGAGGGAGTTGGAGCGGGAACGGGAGCGCGAGAGGATGGAACGTGAGCGCGAGAGGATGAGGCGCGAACGGGACGAGCTCGATCGTCTGCGCGCCGACGCGGAGCGCAACCGCCGGTATTCCGGGTCGGACTCCGGGGACTCTGTGGTTCACCACACGAGGCACGAGACCGTCGAGGAGAGCTTCAAGAGTGAGGTGCGGTACGAAAGGGAGGCCAGCGATGAGGAGGACGAGTTCGAGCGCCGGAGGAGATACCTTTAAACGTCAAGTTTGGATTAGCATGTTTTGCATATTACTTTTACCCGATTTAATGATATATTACCTGTCCGACCTCTTAAAAACCGACTAAAATACCTTAAAGACCTTTTTCTTTGTCCCAAAATCTTACAAATATTTGATCTGTAACCGTCTGTCTTCAGTTTGCCTTAAAAACAGCATGTTCTTGCAGTTTCTCTCTCTCTCGCTCTCTCTCACTCTCTCTCTTTCTCTCCCTTTCAGGACTTTACCCTGTACATATGCTAATTTCCTAAAAATTACCAATCCCTGTAAAACCCTAAAAACCTTCAAAATTCATTCCAACCCCCATTACTGCCGATTTCTTTGCCCCCGCATGTTGTGTGGTGCTGATAATAAAGTTTTATAGAATTATGCATAAAATGCAGATGTTACCCAAATATTTTAGCGAAATTCGAGCCCTCACCGATGAGCGAGGAGAACCTGAAGGCGCCGCAGGCCATCAAGATTATCCAGGTGAAAATTAGCAACAATTAGAGAGAGGAGAGAGAACGAGAGAGAGCGAGAGAAGCAGATACAAAGTACTTGCGCCATTATTTTCGCGTGACGGGATTCTAAAAAGCTCCCAGGCCTAGCCGGCTGGAAACGAGACAAGTAAAAAGGTGTCTATGATGTTTCAATGGCAAAAACGTAAGGGGGAAAAATGGGTGGTGATGTTGCTGTTTTTGCAGAATGAATGCAGCTGCTACAAAAAATTGCAGAAATTGGCACTTGGCACAAGCGTACTTACTGAATTCGAGAAGAGAGAGAGAGAGAGAGAGAGCGAGAGAGAGAGTGAGAGAGAGATATTTTTACAGCTTTTATCGCCTCATTTCAGCGCTCCGAGCACGAGATCTCGCGCGCCGGCGACTCTGACGTGAAGGAGCTGGAGCCCTTGGTCCCCCAGCGAGCCCAGAAGGCATTCTACAGGTCCCAGCATGAACAGATCGCTTCCTACAATCCTGTAGATAACTGAGAAAAAGATAGCAAGCAATAGGAATTTTTAGCAATGAATCTCAGCCTCGTAACTTTTATAACTTTTCAAAAATGGTTAAAAATCGAACCGATTTGCATTCAAATACTGCCAAAAACTATTCAGTTCAAACCACCTGATTTTATGATTTTACCCCCTCTTCTCAGGGCTTTTAGCAAATCAAACAAAGAAACACTACCGTAATCTCTTCCCTGATCAGCTGACGACTCTGTGTTTTCCGGTGTACACCCCACGACCACTCTTTTTCTCAAGAATTTTGACGAAGCACGAGAATAAATCATTTTCCTCCAAAAACGTCCCAGGTTGGAAAATGCACCGGAAAATACAGAGTGACGTCTGCCAGACGTAAAAAACCAAAAATCCAACCAACGCCTAGCTTAAGACATTTTAATTTTGAGACTTTGATCAGATACAGAGCGCACAAAAGGCAGAGGAGTATGGTTGCGTTCAGGCTTAGGCTTAGGCTTAGGCTTAGGTTTAGGCTTAGGCTTAGGTTTAGGCTTAGGTTTAGGCTTAGGCTTAGGTTTAGGCTTAGGCTTAGGCTTAGGTTTAGGCTTAGGTTTAGGCTTAGGCTTAGGTTTAGGCTTAGGCTTAGGCTTAGGCTTAGGCTTAGGCTTAGGTTTAGGCTTAGGCTTAGGCTTAGGCTTAGGCTTAGGTTTAGGCTTAGGCTTAGGCTTAGGCTTAGGCCAGGCTTGGGCTTAGGCTTAGGCTTATTAGGGCTTAGGCTTAGGCTTAGGCTTAGGCTTAGGCTTAGGCTTAGGCTTAGGCTTGGGCTCGGCCTTGGACTTAGGATTAGAACCGGATTCCAGACCTTTCGTTGCCGATAACATGGAAGAAATCGACATGCCACCTCCGCTCCGAGCTTCCGTCTCGCATCACTCCATTGCCGAGATCAGGTAGAAGAACATTATTTTCATTATTTAAATTCTAGGAAGTTTTGGGCTGAAATTTGAAGCTCATGAAGCTTAAGGAAACTCATCTATCCTTTCAGTCAATCCCGAATCCCGGCCGTCGCCGCCGTCGAGCAGCCGAAGGGCAAAAATGCCGAACGTCTCTTCAAGCGCCCCGGATTCGACAATGTTCCGTCTTACAATTAACTACGCATCCGTGTTTTCTGTTTTAAAGGGACTAGGCAAAATCACAATTACTAGAGTCATAAAACGTTTTCAGAATCGAAAAATCAAATCATAAATAATAATCGAAGTAATCGAGTCTTAAATCGAAACGTTAGTTGCGGATTTTCGGAAAAACTTAGGCGGTTTTTGTCGATTAGAAAGCCTTCAACCTAAAACTTCTAATTAGAAATACTTCTAGTTTTTGCCTTCTGAGACCCTTTAGATGACTGTGACAGGTTTTTTGTAGCTTGTTGCCTGTCACGCTCCCTTCAAAAACCTCTAAGCTTTATTTTTGCTTTCGGTTCTGTGTTTTTAGGTTGTTAGACTGGAAATTCTGGAATTTTATAACGAGGATGTTTTTTAAAACGTTTTTTTTCACGTGCTTTTCTTGGTTTTCCTCAAAACTGCCATCTGCGTATGTCATACTTTATTTGCTCCAACACTTTTCCGTCTTGTACTTTTTAACAAAGATTTTTATTGCGCCTTCAGAACGGAAAGGGGAGGGGACAGAAAGTGGGGGGAGGACAGCTCTACATCAGTATTTCATTTTTGGGGGTATCTGATCTGAGAATCAGGGAAAGTGGGGGCCGGATTTGTACATTACACACGGTACGGTACCGTACAGAGTACAGTGCCGTAAAGCGCGCGTACGCATCGCGGTGTTCACCGCCGTTTCCGCGAGATCATGCACTGCACCGGGGACAGGAAGCAATTCTGGAAGTCGTCAGCGGCATCGATGCTCCGTCGGTCCACTTCCAGCTGTAAAAATATAAATTTTGAAGCGGGACAAGCAAGCTAGAGGAAGCTAGGGACAAAGCGGCTAGAATTTGAACGTTTTAGTGCAATTTTGGGTTTTTAAAGGGCGCGGAAGTCAAAAAAAATGTGGTTTACTTACAAGGGAACCTCACGCGGACGTGGTGGAATTTCGGAAAACGCTCAGGGCTACCCCGGGTAATCGGTCATTGCGATCACGATGCGCTTGTCAGATTTTCTAAATACACCTGTGGACAGAGATACAGCACTTCCGGAAAATGAGCAATTTGAATGCGGGATTTGCATGACCAGTTATGGGTTCATAAAGCCCTCTGAACTTCCAGAAAGCACCGGTTGAGTGGCCGAGTGGAGAAGAGATACCGGTATTAGGTGAAGGGTCAGAGGTTCGGTCCCGCTCCGCTGCTGGCTTTTTACTTTTTGGCACAAAAACAACTTTTCAAATTTTTTTCAGGCTTCGCTTGCAAAGTTTTTTGCTCTATTACTCATGTTTTAAGAGGAAGAGAAGAGAGAAGGAGAGAGAGAGAGAGAGAGAGAGAGAGAGAGAGAGAGAGAAGAGAAGATACTCATGAAGATTGAGATTAAGAGAGAGGAAGATATCTTAAGAATATCGGCTTCCGTATAAATTATTATTCTTTATACGCTTGGTTCAACAACGATGATAGTCGACCACGAAATGTTGGAAACAGAAATGCTTATCACAATAGGGACATTTTAGCAGGGCGGAGTTGGTACAATTCGGATCATCACAAATAGCTAGAGGGTCTACATTAAAACAATAATCAGATGGGGTGGGCGCATTTGTTGGGGGAAGATCGAGAAAGCCGGCTGAAATCCAGGAACCTTGCCAACACGGCTTGAACCTTGGGGCCCGAAACACATAATAGACTTGGGACACCAAAAGAATAATGTTGTCTCTCTTTTGGAGAGAAAAAACCAATTTCAAAGATTATCACATGGTTCGACAGTTTTTTTACGAAACACTTCCAGGGACAGAAAAAAAATTTGTCACATGGTTGGATTAGTGAAGTGGCTCCTGGGGGAATGATGTGGACTTCAAGGCTCTTCCCGGCAGGAACTTGGGCTTGGATTGAGGCTGTGTCGCGGAATGGAGTCCAGGAGTCGCACAGCAGTGTCACGTCATCTGGAGATCCTGGTCCGTGCACGATCTGTTGGAACCATTCGAGCATCAATGACTTGGTCATTATGTGTGAAGTAGAGGCCCTGAAAAGGGGATGATTAAAATTCATCGTTTTTACCTTAAAATCAAGTTGTCGGCTTGGAACGGGGGCCGGTTAGTCGGGAATTGACCTCCTTTTTCAGCCATCACCACCAGCAAATTCTCGGCCAGACTTCCATCAGCGAACATCAGAGGCATGATGGTGTACGAGTGAGTCGTGGCGGTGGCTGATTGGATAAGCCTCACCACCTTCTTCTCTCCTTTAAAGGCCAGTGATCGCATCGCGTGCAGCTCCTTTTGAATCCCGGATTGGTCTGCGTTTGCCAATTGATACAGAGCCAGCCTTCCGGATTGGATCTCGTGCTTGATTTTCTCGACGAGCTCGTCAGCCTTCCTTCTGATGTCGTCTTGAGACCGGAAATTTCGGATCGTGGTGAATGTTGTGATTCGGCGGGAGACGAGGCCGGCAAATCGCTTGAACTTGAGAATCCAGCTCTCGGATGCGGTGAAGCCAGGGATTTTCGTGGTTTCACGGTTGATCTGTAGGGCCATGCTTCGCAACTCAAAGTCGTGCAGAGATGGCCTGCAAAGTACAAATCTATTCGGGTTTTTAAAGGGATGGTGCTATGTTAGATACAGACTTCACGGTCTCTTTGGTTTAAATGGATTTTTTATACCGTTTTCCAGGTGCGTGGTGCATTTCTCCTTCAGCAGCTTGAGCAGCTGCTTGCGGCTATCGTGGAGACAGTAGACCAACAGCGTCTTCTCATATTGCCGAAGCGCGTTGAGGTGGCTCGGCTTTTGGATCCAATTAAAGCGGCTGGTCATGGAGGCTAGGCCGCGATGGCCTTTCTTCGGTTCCCGGTAGTGCTTCAGAGCCGCCCTCAACTAAAAAAAAAATTTTAGGGCATGCGTTACATACCTGATCTTCCGTCACCCGCCGTGACCCAAACTGCTTCGCCGTCAGTGCGTCCAAGTATCCGGAAGATTGTTTTACATTATCATCCTCGCCGTTCCAATTCGGGTCCACCGCCTCCGCCTCATTGTTTTCGAGGGTCTCCTCCTCTTCAGCAATGTCGATTGATGCATATTCGATCTCTCGTAGCGTACGGGCGATGGCCTCCATCACCTTCCGTTCCTTGCGCGACAGCGGCGTGTCGTCAGGAGCCGTTCCGAAAGCTGCTACCAAAGCCGAGACGATTCGCGGCGCCGTCATCTCGGGTCGAATGGAAAAAATTTATTTTGACAAATAAAGTCATTAATATTAAATGCAGATTTAAATTATGGTAACTTGAAAACATAATCTTAAAATATGAGTAATAGAGCAAAAAACTTTGCAAGCGAAGCCTGAAAAAATTTGAAAAGTTGTTTTGTGCCAAAAAGTAAAAAGCCAGCAGCGGAGCGGGACCGAACCTCTGACACTTCACCTAATACCGGTATCTCTTCTCCACTCGGCCACTCAACCGGTGCTTTCTGGAAGTTCAGAGGGCTTTATGAACCCATAACTGGTCATGCAAATCCCGCATTCAAATTGCTCATTTTCCGGAAGTGCTGTATCTCTGTCCACAGGTGTATTTAGAAAAATCTGACAAGCGCATCGTGATCGCAATGACCGTTTACCCGGGGGTAGCCGTGAGCGTTTTCCGAAATTCCACCACGTCCGCGTGAGGTTCCCTTGTTAGGAATCGCTGAACTCCCGAAGTGATTAGTTGAGGCTTCAGCTTATGCGTAGGATTAAGATTAGGCTTTGGCTTGGCTTAGGCTTAGGCTTAGCTTAGGCCTAGGCTTAGGTTGCGGCGTAAGCTTCCTAAATGGGCTTTACTTAGGAATCGCTGCTAACCTCGCTTTCGAATGCAAAAAGAGAAAAGGGGTGATCGATTCCCAAGAAATCTCTGCTGGCTTTCCAAATTGGACCAAATTTCAGATTACGCTCAGTTTCCTTATATGAAGAATTTTAGATTTGCCCAAATTCTTACAATATTAAATTTTTTTTGACACGAAAAACTTTCAAAACTCACAAATAACGATTTAAGCAACATGCAAAGCATTTTAAGAGCTTCAGCAAAAAATTTTTTTGGGAAACTTTGTGATTATACGGCCCCAGTGCGATTTTTCGACAATTAAGCTCGTCAAGCGTTTTAAAAAGCAAAAGCTAAGAAAAATCAGCAATTTTCAAAAACGCTACACTACGCCTCTCTCACATGAGTCCAGAGCCACTCCCGGAGTTTGCCGGACGGCTTCAGAAGCGCCGTCCCCAACACCTAGAATTTCCGGGTTTTCGGGTTCCGACTTTGTTTTTATTTATTTTAACCAGGGCTTAAAGTTATAATATTTTGAATTTTCAAGCAGATAAAAACCGGTGAAGCCATGAAAACCCTTGAAAACAAACCTGGTGTTGTAAATCGCTGTTTTGGAATTCCTTTTGGTTTGGTGAATTGACAATTTGGACCTCGTAAAGCGGCATTGATTGGGTAAAGAGGTATTTTGTTAGATAGGTATTCTAGAAATCAACATTTTCAAAACATATCTTTTGCAAAATTATTATTTTCCGACTATTTTCTGCATATTTCTCTTTTTGGAACGACGTTACCTTCCTCTAAACGCATCCCCCTTTCCGGTCACTGAACCGCGCATCAAAATGTCACGCTCGTTTATGCAAGCCATTTCTGCGCGCTCCGACGGCGCTAATTCCCGATTCAAACGTTTGGATTGTATCGAAAGTTTAAACAGCGGGCCCAAAGGTTATAAAATTCCATTAAAACTATTATTTTTATAACTAAATAAAGAAAACTTACACTCCTCTTGATCGGCCCGTGGGCGCCCAAAGCTTGCCGGTCACGCCTGAAAAAAATAAAATGAAGGTATGAAAGCATTCAAAATTGGTTTCCAATACCTCCCCAAGCTTTTCGCGCAAAAAGCAAAAAGTAAGCCCAATGCGGGGCTCGAACCCGCGACAACCAGATTAAGAGTCTGGTGCTCTACCGACTGAGCTAACCGGGCGGCGAGTGGATGGACTGGGGAGGGCATGACAAGGGTTGCCCGTTCCCTTCCCGCCTCTTCCCTAGGGACTGCCCCAGCCAATGGGTGACGCGATAGGGGTCGGCCCAAATTTTTCGATTTTGCTCGTTTTTCGTGTGGTTTTTTCATGATATTTTTTTGGAATTCGCTCTTGCAAATTTAGGAATATAAATATAAACAAAAAAGAAAGAATCAACGGTTTTTGGAATTAGAAATCGTTAAAAATAGAAATGTTTGTAGAGCCTGGAATTATATATTTTTCTATGAATCCTCAACATCCTAGTCTTAAAATCAGGATTTTTAAGCTTTTAGTAATGCAAAAATGCACCGAAATTATAATGATTGTCCGAAGGATACATAAATTCCTAATTCTAAGAATTTTCCATAATTTCCATGATGGGCGCTAAAAATGCATTTTTCAACCTTATTTAACTCATAAAACTCATATAACTCACTGGATCATGAGCCGAATTAACGCCTGGCGGCTCATGCGCTTCTCGGCGGCGCCGGCCATCCCGTCCTCGTTTGGCTGATAGAGATTTGGCAAGAACACGGCCTCGACGCTCAGGCAGAACACGAGCAGCAGACACAATGATGAGACGATGGAGGCCATTTTATATTGGGGGTTACCTGGAGCGATATTTCATGTAAAATTTCGGCGGAACATAGCAACAGAAAAGCACAATTATCAAATCCGTGATTTATTCATGTGGCTTTTCCTCCATAGGCGATTCTTTAAAACGTTGCAAAAACTCGTGATTACAGTAGATTACTGACTACTGTTTGCAATCCGGGTTTTTAGTCCCTTTTTGATGCGATCTACAGTATAACATTTTGCAAAGTCAGTTTTTGGGCAAAACATATTAAAAAAATTACCAATTACCTAAACTCCCTTGCTACATATTTTTTAGTTAGAAATGGAAAGGTTGTTTTCAACGATAAAAAATAAGAAGAAACACGCTTGAGGCCCAGTTTTAGCGATTTGGACTGGAGTTTTTGCACAAAAATGACGAGTTCGGTTCGCGCGCAGCGGGACCACTTTGTTCCTGTGGCAATAATTATTCGGGGAATCCGCTTTGCCTAAAAAATTCCGAAATGCTCCAAAGTCCATGTAGGCACCTCGCCACTTCTGGATTCGAGGAATTAGCAAAATTTCAGAGTTTTTGAGTGCCATTTCGTGCAAAATCCGAGCTTCGCGTGGCTCCACGCACGCTTATTTATCTCATCGGCCGGGAGGAGATTTGATTAATGTTTGGGGCGGCCTGGTGGGAGAGAGAGAGAGAGAGAGAGAGAGAGAGAGAGAGAGAGAGAGACAGAAAGAGAGATCGAAAGGCGAAGAAAGACGAAAAAGCCCCATATAAGCGTTCGAAGCCCATTTTTCCTGAGCAGCTCGTCGCGCGGAAGGTGTTAGGAGTAAAAACCGGAAAATGCAATTTTAGCGGCGTGGAAAAGGGTGACGAATTGCCGAAGCGAAATTGGCCAAAGAATAGGTGATCCCCTTCCTCGGATGGCGACTTTTCCCTAACTAATTATTCGTCTGGAGAAGCGCCGGAAAAGATGAGGTGTGTCAGAGTGGAATTACTGGCCGGTCCGATGAGTTTGCAGCAAATGAGAGAAGCGGAGGGTAATTGGAAATTAGCTCTCATGACTTCTGGCCAAGAGGAGGCTTTTTGGGATGATGGAGGAACTTCGGAGCGACGTTCTCGAGCACGAAATTGGCAAAAAGGCCTGATAGCGTCTAAAAAAGTGGCAATTTTAGGCAACTACGGTAGGAGCTAAGAAAGCGTTTTTAGAAAACTAGATGTTTAGAGGAGGTTACGGGACGAAAGAGAACCTAGTAAAAGGGTACCTCTTCAACGTGTCATAACGGACTTCTCCTCTCGAGGAGCTCAAGAAGTTCACAAAAATTTTGCACAAAGGGTGATTACCTTAATCCCAATATGAGCGGCTAAGGTATAACATAAAAAGGATGTAAACCCCATAGCCAGACAAATTATCAGCGGACCTTGCTACAGTACGCTACACACTCTAACACCGCCCAGCTGAAATGCGCTACCTTACCAGGAACACCAGACGTGCCGATGAAGTCGGCTTTTGCACCTGGTCCAACCCTCCAGGCTACTGGATGGCCTTATGAAACGTCACTTTGGACCAGCGGAACAGGATGGCGAAGTAGTAGATGCGTTTTTCTTGACAGGAATGAATCAGCTGGCTCCATTTTTGGACAGCTTCAGGAAGCTGGGAAGTGCAGCTCCAGTGTGGCTAGAGAATTTCCTAATTGATTTGCTCTGCGAAGGGTTTGCAAGCATGAAGGTTTGCATTCCGAACGTCTTGACGCCGTGATTCTGAGATTCTAGGCAAATTTTAAAGGGACAGCGACACGAGGATTGCCTTTTCTTTAACATTATGAAGCGAAAACAGGATTTCGCGAAGCGAAAAAGGTTTGACAAAGCTGGAAAATCTGGCCTGACCACCATCAGCTTCCTACTTATCCGATCTACGTAAGCATGCGGTAGTTGCGGTGGCGTTTCTGGAGCAAAAAGGGCCGAACGGAAATCTGATACACGGCGCACTTCCCGATACCAGAATAGCCGCGATAATTTCCGTAAATAGGTCGGGGGAAGTACGGCTGGGTAAGGAAGTACAAGGGCTGCCGGTAGCCAGTGAAAACTGCATAGGATGAAGCCTTAAAAAATTGCTCAAGTTTGTGTAGAGCGTAGAGTTACGCGCGTAATGAGCGTACATACTACCTAACATCTGCGCCCTAGATAACGCTGATAGGCCAAAATGAGCACGCTAGCCAACGTACTTCAACTGCGAGCGGATTGATGGTGCATAGATATCGTAGTTGTTATCTTCCACGTGACCTTCCACTTTTGATAGTCGGAATTACCGTACGACTTAACGAAACAAAGAGGCCCTTCGTATTTAAATACCTCGGCATTAACATACACCTAAAGCTCTAGGGTTAAGGTAGGCTACCCACAAATCGGCCGACTTTGTTCCGTAAAGGGCCGGAACAAGCCTAAGCCCAAAGCTAAAAGTTAAGCCTATAATTAAGCATAAGCCTACTCTTCCTGCGAGACTACAGTAATCCGCCCAAAAGTAGCCGACCGGATCCGTAAAGGGCAGCTTTTAGCAGTAGTCAAAAGCCAAATGCCAGCGGCCCTGCCGCGCCTTCGACAAGTGGGCGGTAATGTGTGGGTGGCCCCCCATCCCCACAAAAGGTATTCCATTATTCTAGGGCCGCTTGGCGGGACCATCGCATTCCCCCTCGCTGCGCGCACCTTTTAGCAAACGGAAGTGGTGACGAGCCCCAGCAGCCATGGGTTTTTGGGCAACGCTTCGGCGCTTCAGATGAAGCTCGGCGAGCGGGGGATGGGTACGTGATGTCTGCCTGTGGTGCGGGGGGCGCGGTTTATTATGTCTGCATCAGACTAAAGGTTAGGGAACTGGTCTGAAAATGTCAGGTGCGTTGTCATTGCTGGGGTTGCTGGAAAATTACCGTAGTAATTGAGGGTCAGATCTCCGTGAAGTAAGAAAGGAGTGCGAGAGAAGGAGAGAGAGAGAGAGAGAGAGAGAGAGAGAGAGAGAGAGAGAGAGAAAATAAGGTTCTTAAAAAACCGCGGATGAGCCTGGAACGGGTCGGCTAGATCAACCCGACAAGAGGCCCCACAAAATCAACATCCAAAAAAGCCAACCTCCGAATCCTAAGATGACGCCAGATTCCGATGACTAACATTGGGGGCTTCCCCCGAGTTGTCGGACGGAAATACGCATCACATCGGATCTTACGACAAATTATTTAGACATTCCGGCAATTTGTATCAGTTGTTGTTGAGTGAGACGGGGTTTCTACCTGCCACTCAGCATAGTGTACCCTTCAGGCCGGGATTAAGGATTAGGGGTCTAGTATAGTCATCAAAATAATGAATGAACCACCAGCAAAATCAACAAACTACATTACACCTAATAAATTACACAAAAATTTCTCAGGGAATCGCCGTTAGCTTGTCTTCCGAAGTATGGTTTGAAAACAATCAACCATCATAAAAAATTATATTTTTTAAAGTACCAAATTGTTAGCTGAAACGAGCGGCTTGTATCCGGCTGAAATCCGGCACAAATCGAGGCAGACAAAATACATCACTCGACTTTTTCCATGCCCTAAATCGTGCCCTTGGGGATTTTTTGAAAAAGTCCGTGCGTTCCCTTTGAAGTTTGACGATGGACTTTGCACGCCTGCTGAAATCGTATTAGAATTATCTCATTTGCTTCGAGCGTCAACAAGTTTTGTAAAAAGATATCGGTGAACTTATTGCGCATCTCTAGAAAATTTCTGTCGGAAAAATATTGGTAGAATCTACTTTTACTGGAATAATTCAAATTTTTGCTTTTCAGATAAAGTATTTATGTGAAAATGGAATATGCAATTTTTGGGCATCTGGGAACTTCTTAAAATATTAAAATTTACAAAATAATACAGAAACCCCCTAGGCCTTTTCGATCTTTGTTGCAATTGCACGGATAATCACCAAATTGAAAATTTTTGGACAATCAGAACATTTCGCATGAAGCAGCCTAAAAATGAACACATAAATATAGAGTTTAAAATTTCTGCTTCAGGTAGTACCACGTGCTCACCCGTTCTTCTCGGCACCCGGCGCGTCATCTCCAATATTTTTTTGGCAAAAATTCAATCTATTCTCGTCGTTGTGGGGGCGATTACGAATAGATCGCTCGAACCCACCTACACCTTTTCGGGAGAAATTGGTGGAATTTGATTGGCCGGTGGCCCAGCGGTTGCTTAAAAATTGAGGGGTTGACATAAAATTTGTTGTAGATATCTTCACGTAACAAAAATTAAATATGAGTAAACATGGCCTCAAATTTTAAAACCGTACTTAATTTGATTTTGTCTAAAACTCCTAAATAATTTCAATTTCGTCTTCACAATTTTCTTCTCGTAATTTTTATAATTACGCTTCAACCCTCCTTAAAATATATATTTATCGTATTTTACCATAAAATGGGCAGAATTCGTTTATTGGCACAACTGCTGGGAAGGAACAGGTAGAGAAAAACACCAAAAACAGGTTGAAAATGGATCGGAAACAAGTAGAAAATAGATAAATCAAGAAAATGCATTTATACGACATACAATTATTAAAGCCATTGGGGAATTGATTTTGTTCATCGCGTAATGGATAAGGGAAAGGGGATGTGTGTGGCAAGGATTGCGTACCCAGTGGCAGTGTCGTAGTATTGCCGGTCGATTCAGCTCGGTCTTTGGATTTTTTCGGAATCGTTTATCCTATCTAAAAGTAATAGAATAACGTTCTTAAGCAGACAAAGAGAAAGTTATAAGATATATTTCAATTATCATAACTTTAAAAACCTTTGAAACCGCCGAAATGCCTAAAACTTTGGAATTTCTGACGTTATCGCGCTCTAAAGGTATATTCAAGCATAGCTTTTAGTTATTTGAACCATTTATACTGTTTCAAAACGTGAATTAAAAAGGCAGAATGTAGCAAAATCTCGCTTATTTTCTGGGGCAATACCAGCAAGAAGCAGCTGAAGAAAATCCCGGCTAAAGCAATGAAGACTTTT